GTGGTCACATAAGGATTATGTTTGGAAATTCCAAACATCTTTCCGTATTGAAGTGTTGGGCATGGTTTTCGAACTGCCGTTCAGCTGGACGGTTAAAACGTTTGGTCCGGGAACCAGTTCCATTTTATCCCAAACTCATTCTCACATTAAAAACTGTTGAATCAGTTAATGATTCGTTAATTTGGGTGGTCGAATTGTTAATCTTTTTAACGGTTTTAATTATTTCTTATTTTTAATTTTTATTATCAAAACGGGCCATTCATTCTGTCAACCCAGAAATCAATGGCCAAAATGGTTCCATTTTCTGGTCATTTTTTAAAATAATGGTGTTGGGCAAGGTTGCCATTCAAAAAGGGCCCTTACATGGAGCTTTGGACCAGTCAATTAAAATAAAAAATTTATTTTCGAATTTGAGATTAGACATAATTGAATTGAATTTGGATAATATGAATATCATAATCAGTTCAATTTGAGTATCATCTGATTTATTTAAATAAATTTTTAAATTCAATTGATTATATAGTATATAAAATATTTAAGCACTTTAGTTAATTTAAATATAATATTTAAATTATATAAATAATTTATATATTTTATATAAATAAAAATATTTATATTATATATACTAATTACTTAAAATAACTAATTTGATAAATTTAAGTTGAATCGATCCGCTTACGCCCCTACTACCTAAGTTAGTATTCATTTTTGTTAGCAGTGCAAAATAAATAATACTTGGTTGTGCAAATAGGATTAGTATAAGCTCTGGTTTACTTCGATTTCATGTTATGTTTTGTTTCGCTGGAAGGATAAAATGAAAGCAAAAGGAAGGTTGTTTAATTAGACGAATGAAAGAGAGATAAAATGTGTTGTCCCCAATTTCTATGATAGAGAATAAAGGTGGGAGGAATGTAGTGTACATTTTTTATTTTCATCAGTAAAATGCGCAAATTTTGAATCAAATGGGAATGCAAATCCTTGTTACTGATAAAACAAAAACCATGCAAATTTGAAGCAGGTGAAGAAACAATGATCATATCGAGGTTTTAAAAATCAGATCGAACACAGAACTGGTTTGGAGACCGGTTCTTGGGTTAAATGATCCAATCGTCCGGTTTGAATGGTGATATGTTCTAACTTAAAAAAATAATAATAATTAAAATAAAAAACTGTAAAAAACTGTTGTCCGGGTTGATAGGTTAATGATTCAACCACCCAGGTCATCAAGTCTGACCAATACAACGGTTTTTGGACCAAGAATGGTTATAAGGTGAAAAAGAACCGATTGTCTGACCCGTTTCTAGGTCAACCAGTCCGATCGCCCGATCAAATCCAGTTTTCAAAACCATGGATCAAATATAATAATATATAAAAATTCTGATGAATCAATTGTTCGTGCTAAGTACCTTGTCATTCGGTCTGCTTCCAAGTGGCTGATGACTCAGAGGCCGAAGTGGAGAATTTTGCTGGGTGATGACCTGGATTCCAAGCTGACCAGGCCGAGCTGGGAATGGACTAGGTGCCGAGTTGACCAGGCCGAGCTGGGAGTGGACTAGGTGCTGAGCTGACCAGGCCGAGCTGGGGACAGGTTAGGTGTCGAGTTGACTGGAGGGTCGGGCTGCATATTAGGTGACCAGGCCGAGCTGGGAGTGGACTAGGTGTCGAGCTGACCAGGCCGAGCTGGGGGCAGGTTAGGTGCCGAGTTGACTGGAGGGTCGGGCTGGATTGATTGTTAAGTTTCATAGTTCTTTAGAGACCTGCAAGAAATCAATGTCAGAGGACCCGGGGTGGCTAACCTGGCGAGGTCGCTCCGATGCTTAAGTCATTACTCTCATAGTAGACTCTGAGCAAAAAATCATAAATTATGAGAGCTAGAATATGCTTACTTGCCCCCCCCCCCCTATGCCATTGGGGTTGGTGCCTTTATATAGGCATTGTTTGGCGTGGGCTTCACGCACCACATCCGAGATTTTTGATAGATTGCTTAAGTGGTTTGAGATTCCCGGAGGCAACCGCCATGCACGTTGACCACCCTCCGGAACATTCGGTACATGGGCCAACTTCCAAGGATCGTGGGAGTGTTGAGATATGCATGTCGAATTTGTCGGCGAGCACGTCTCGCAGGTTGCCACCTGGACCTCAGTCAGGCTGACCTCCCTCGAGGGAGGTCGCTCATTGCGTCGAGGTCACTTCGGCCAGTGACGAGGTGTTGCAGGTCGACCCTGGACGAGGTACTTCTTGTCAACCTGAATTATAGTCGAGGTCGCCAATTCGGCACTTGTGCCAGGTCGCCATCATTTTGGTTAAGATAAATTGTTGCCTAAATGATTCCAGGTGTCACCCAATAATTCCGAAATACCACGTGTTACAATGTCATTTGAAAGGCCAAATCCACCCAAATCAAGTTCCATTCCAATTTCCAACCTATCACACTCTCCAAAACGGTCCAAACCTTCCCTTAGGGGCCTTTGCAACGTAATCTCCACGGCATGAATTTGTTGTAAGTTGTAACTTGTAACCAAGCATGCAATCATTAGCAGTATTATTATAATAAGCGTTTCAAATATTAATTAAGCACAACATAAAATATATAAAATTTTATAACATGGAAAGTGAATCCAACTAAACCTTTCCTTAGTCTCATTCCAACTTTCATTAATTAGTGGGATTTAGTGAATCTGGGTGAATATTGGTTGTGCTCATTTCAACCTTCAAACTTATCCGATTAATTCCTTTTGATCTATCTATACACATTTGTTCATTCAAGCCGACAAGGTTCAAAGTATCCATACTTGCAATACGAAAAATTCAAAGGGCAATTCTTCCTGATGAAAATGATTTCAGAGTTGGGAAGGGTATTAAGCTTTGAATATGATCATATGTTCTCATTTCAAGCAAAGTTCAAAGTATCAATATATTCAATACTCTAAAATTTAGTATTTAACTTTAATCACTTTGGTACTTCATTACTTTTTCTTTTTTAATTTGATATGTTTAACATTGGAATCTATTTAATAGACCTAATTCTAAGTACTCAACATATTAATGAACCATGAAACTATACATTTCCTACAACCAGGGCTAAAACAGAAAATCATGACCATAGATCTACTGCAATGGCCCTACTAAAAAGTCATTTCATCTAATTCAAGGTGGGGACATGATAATAAATAAAAGGATTTGATTTAATTAATTATTTCAGCACAAGGCTATGACATTGTTGTAGCAAATGTGGGTTGTAGAACAGTATGTGCTAATATATCATGACACTTTGAACCTTAATTCCAAATGTTATATGTTTTATCAGTTCCACAAACCAGTACATATCTCATACAATATAGTATGATGTGAAGAAATTAGTGATTCCTACCTGATCGGTTCGTTGTCCAATTCGATTTTAAAAACCTTGATATGAACCTTTATTATCAATGAAATTATCAATATTGGAAAACAGTACTGGAGAGAGAGACCTCATTCTTACCTCATATTAGCAATAAGAAATGGTAAAAATAAACACATGCTTATTTGACCACTTAAGAATAAACGTGATCAATATGCCAAATGAGCAAAACCATCTCAATTGAATGAGTAATTAGTTTCTGTAAACAGCTTGTACACGCAGTTTTTGTATTAGATATAAAGAACTTTTGATCAAATTAATGGATCAGGTTTGACCCAGCTAGTCTCCATGTGCCAACCAACCAATGGTGGGTTGGAGAAGGAATACATACACTGCATGTGGACAAAATGACGCATGTGACCTAGCAACTTCAAGTGAATCTTTGAACAAGTAAAGCTAAAAGAATGGGTAGCTTTGGAATTTCAATTCCACCACAGCCACCTCCGAAAGAGCTTGAAAATGACCAGCCAATGTCATTTGCAAGCAAAAAAAGGCGATCTTTATCTGTGGCTAGCTACTTGTGCCTGTGAGAGAGCTCTTTCTCAATACTTTTAAATGTCTAATCTGTCCTCATTTTTCAAAGTGGTAAGGCAAGGCAGCTCTATCAGTCCAAGGGCATTTTAGCCAGTAGAACTTAAAACTCTTTTCTCTTTTTCAAACGAAATTGGCAGCTACTATGGGTAATAAGTATTATTATCAAGAAGAAAAATTAAACCTTTACAACTGTTTCGGTTAGCTTTTAAACTAAACCTGCTTTTAGACCTTTCAGCTCATACTTTAAAGCAGAAAGCATGGATTAAAGTTCAGCATTTCACATTACTCTTCACTTCCATTTATCAGCTTTTCTTATTAGCACTGTTACACATAAATGCTTCTATCAAAAATATACAAAACAGAAAAGGAAGTTGGTAAAGGAGGAACTTCTTGCAGGGATGAACACAAGGGGAATGATCTAGTGAATATAAATGGGGCCTTGTTGGGTGGTGAATTTTGGAACTTTGAGCATGGCCCAATATTAGACTCAAAGAGGATCACAGTGGGACCCACAATGCAAAGAGCCGCCACATGATTTAGTAGGTCCCACCATCCCATGGGCCTATCGTAGAATAAACATGATAAAAATTTTCCCAATCATCTGATATATTCCATTTGGTCATAATACTCCACACAAAATGATACACATCATCCTGATTGGTTTTTTTTTTTTTTTTTTGTTTGGCCTACCAACTGTACATCTTAGGTGGGACCCATCTAATGGGTTTTCTATAACCAATCCAAGATTGCCACATATACCCTATTCATTTCCCTCCAAAATTACTTGGGTTTCTCCTTAATCAAGTCCATCCATTTTAGAGAGAGAGAGAGAAATGGACTTCAACAAAAGTCCACCCTCCACCTATGATAGATTCAATACCCAACTGATGAACTGAAACATTTGCTAGCTGTGGTTTCTTTCATTCTACTAATCCATTTGATAGATATGTATATTGATAAAAAGAAAAAATTAATAACAAATTCAATGGACGAATCGGTCCTCACCTCTGTCCCCAGCTTCCCACTTGACACGTCCCTCTCTCTCTTTCTCCTCGTTCTTTTCTCTCTCTTCACCGCGACCCTTCCCTCAAAAGTGATAAAAACCCCTCTCCCTCGTCCAAAAACCCTTAACAACGAAACCCACGTAAAAGATGTCTGATTACTCTCCTTCTTTCCCATCTTGTTTCCGCCCCAGCCCTGCTAACTTTGATGACCACCATTCACCGGCGCCGCTACCGCTGCCTCCGCCTACTTCCGGCAACGCAAATTTAACGACATGTCTCTACTATACCAATCTTGGGGTCTTCGCCCTCACCTGGTGTCGCAACGTCATCGGTCGAGATCTCCAGATCGACATCCGCTTCGATGATCAAGAAGATGAAGATCTCTTTCCCTCCTATCGCCTTCACATGAAGCCATTTTTCTTCTGGAGAAAATATGGTTCAAAGAGGCTCCACGTCAACGGTCCGACGAAGAAGAAGGTTGAAATCTACTGGGATCTCACCAGAGCCAAGTTCGTCGCTTCCAGCCCCGAACCCCAATCTGGGTTCTACGTCGCCGTCGTCGTTGACGGTGTGATGACCCTTCTTGTCGGTGATTCTCAGAGGGAAGTATACGGCAGAAGCAAAACAAGGAAACCCAATAGAAGAAGCCAGGTGTTGATTTCGAGAAGAGAACATGTTTTTGGCAACAAGGTTTATACAACGAGAGCTAGATTTGGAGGCAAGACCAGAGACATCTCGATTGATTGCAGCGTGAGTGGCGATGAACCCAGGCTTTGTTTCAGTGTCGATCGAAAAAGGGTATTGCAGATTAAGCGATTGAAGTGGAAGTTCAGAGGAAACGAGAGGATTGAAGTGGACGGAGTCCCGATTCAGGTGTCCTGGGACGTGTATAACTGGCTGTTTGAAGGAGGTGTTGAAGATGGGCACGCCGTGTTCATGTTCAAGTTCGAGAAGACGGAATTCGGAGAGGAAGAAGAAGAGAACGTACAGGAAGAGTTGAATGAGAAGACCGGAAGAATGGTCGTGTGGAAGCCACAGCAGTCCCCAACCAGTGGCGGGATTGGGATGAATACGTTCGAGTGGAAGAGAATAAACAGAGGGTTTCTGAAGACGACGAGGAGCTCGTCGTCGTCATCAATGTCGTCGGCTTCATCTGGGTGCAGCTCATCGGTGATGGAGTGGGCAAGTAGTATGGATGAGAGCGAGCTGCAGAGCCCATCTGGGTTTTGTTTGCTGGTTTACGCCTGGAGGAATTAAATTAAAGATCGATTGGTGCATCCTCAGATTTCTTTTCTCGTTTCTCCCGATATTGTTTAGATTCTTAGATTGATTACTAACCCATTTGTTCATGAACATATATCAGAATAAAATCAGTCAATATGGCCAGACAAAAAATAGAAGTTCAGATTTCAGACTGTACTGATCTAGAAGACTAAAACCATTCTATACTATGCAATCCTCACTCTTTCTGTACTCTTCCTTGTTTGATTCACGGCTGCTGTAAGAAAAATTAACCGGAAATTTTTGAAAAAAAACGAAAAAAAAAGAAGCATTTTTCTTCTTGTAATCTTGTTCTTTGTTCTTACACGATTATTAGATTATATTCAGAGTTGGAGCTGTATAGTCTTGCAGTAGAGACGTTGTTGTCGTTAGTTCGTAGCTGTTGCGAGTTTTCCGATCAGAGGGGAACAGTACGGCAGACGAGGCATGTGAAAGTGTGAATCAGAGCTTAATGAATATTCATATTTCTTTTTACTATTATTTTATCTTGGTCGGTCAGTTGATCCATCAATCAGGGCCGTTCATCAATTGATAATTCATCATACTTAATGTGGGAAGCTGGTCTCCCGAGATGATTCCTGTATCGCGGATAATCAAGTAACAGTAAAATTAAGAAGAGAAAAGAATTGGGAAGTACTAGATCATTGAATGGGGCGCGGAAAGAGATGAGGGTTGAATGGGGAAAATCCATAATTTTTGTTTTTCTTTTTTTATCTGGAAATAGAGCGTTGACTGTTTGACCAAATCGCACGGCAATTTCAGGGGAAAGGGTGCCAGGTTGTGCGTGGCAGGTGAAGGTTGGACTGGTTGGCTTTGGATGCAGCAGAAAAAAAAAGCGAATCTGCCTCCGACAAATTCTCTTCTGTGAAAGTGACCGAAATATCTTTTTTTACTCTTCACCTCCTCGTCCTACTATTTTTTACGTCTTCACTTTGGGGCTTTTTGCCCATGTGCCCCCCAGAGTTGTCGGATTTTCCTTTACCTACCCTCAGAAAATAAAGTTCTAATCCAAAAATCTGGAGCGGGGAAATGGTTAGAAAAAACATAAGGGTTTCTTTGGAAAAAGCAAAATTTTAAATACCGGCAATTTTTTCATTTTCCTTTCTACGTAACATTCTCGAAGGGGCTGTTTGGGTGGGCTGAGTTAAAGATTCAATTATGTTGGTTAAACACTCTGCAGTCTGCACCAATGACCTTATTCATATATCCGTATTGATATGATTAATAGACTCTTTTTTCTATTTTAATTTATAAGTGTTAGAGGGTCCTCTAATTTTATGAATTTACCAAAACCTACCTTATAATTTGTGTTTCATGAATTTATTAAAACCTATCTTATAATTTGTGTTTTATTAAAATACTCCCTATATTTTGCAATCAATTTACTTAATGAACTTTTCATTACATAATGACATCGAAAAATGGAAAATTTAACACTAATGTCCATTTGGATAAATTTAATCAAAAGAAAATAAAAATAAAAATACAATTTTTGCTCCTAATAATACATGGGCAATTAGGGGTGCTCACGGTTCGGTTAATCGAATTGTGGGGTATTTTTCAGAACCAAACCGGTACTACGGTTTTTGGAAAACCGGTAACCGGAATTGAATCGAAGCTAGTTGGTTGATTGGTTTGGCTCGTCGGTTTTTTAGTTTTTATAATATATATTGTAAAAATATATAAATATATATTTATATATAATGCATAATTATTAATTTATAATATATATAATATAATAATATATAATACACATAAATATATATATATATAATATATAGAAATAGATGTATACTAGTCGGTTTGGTTAACCGCCGGTTTTTTATATTGGTTAACTGAAACCGAACCAATACCTTTAGTTTTTTAAAAACATTGAATCGACTAGTTCAATTAATTGATATTTTGGGTCGATTATGGTCGGTTTTTTTTTTTTTTTGCTCACCCCTATGGGCAATCAAGTTTTGTTTTATGTACAAAGAAGTGTTGAGGATATTTTTGGGATAAATAATCATAGGCCCAGGCCATGCCCTTGAATATTTTTCACTCAGTTAAGTGATCTTGTTATTCTTTTTAGATGGGAAAAGAGACACTTCTTAGTGAAAGGGCCGGCCAGTTAACTGTTCGAACGGTTTTGACCGTTTTCCAATTTTTTAATTTTTTTTTATTTTTTTGTTAGAACGGGCCCACCGTTTGAATCGAATGATCGGACCGTTCGAACCAGTAACTAGATCCTTGACCGGTTTGGTCACCTATTCGTTTTTAAAAACCATGATTATAGGAGTTGTTTTAGTAAATGACCCTTTTGAAAAAGATTTTGTATCAATGTGTCCAAACGTATCTGAAAGCATTGGTACATACATGATACACATACACCCGATATGATATTTAATTTAGACTCCATTTAGAAGGAATACAAATACATATATGTAAAGTGTAAAACCTTATATTTTATATATATATATATTTATACTCCTTCCAAACTGAGCCTTAATATATTAACATTTTAATCTTAGATAAGCTATTCAAAATTCAAAGATGCTAAAGACAGTTCATGGGCCTCTGGATTTTTAACGAACACAGCCCATAAACTGGATTTCAAAAATTCAGAAGCCGCTGTGTTTCAAGTTTCAAGGCCCCTAATGGGCGTGAACTTGCTTTGAAGCTCTCTAGATGAGATATTCAAAGAGGTCAGGGCCACAGCACGGTTCCGCTGCCCATGAGTTTTTCTCACATCCCTACCCATGCGACATTACATTAGGAATATTTCCCTAAATGTAAGATGTTCTCAACACACCGCTGTAGTATTCTATGAATAGAGATGTGGGAACAATTTGTGGGTAGCAAATCCGGTGTTAGAGCCAACAACCCTTCAAATGACTGACAGGCAGTCGATTTAGGCTCTCCAGATTTTTTTTCGCTAAACATGAATCGTAAGCTGTTTATGTGGGGCCCACCTAAGAAAAGCCAAAAGCTGCTGTGCTTCAGCCCTCTCCCAAACGGGCACAAGGTTTGTACTTATTTCTCAAAGCTTTAAAAGAGTTCAACTCATGCAATATGTAGTTTCTTGCATGCTTCATGATTTCAAAAACTTCAAGTCTTCAACATTAGCGGCTTATAAACAAATTAGGATTTGGTAAGTAAACATGATCGGCCAAGAAGGAGTTGAGAGGAATATTCAGCAAGACAAAGAAGACACTCTATCAAATCAAAGAATGGATTGGATGCTGAGGGATCAGAGGGCAAAACAAATTAACCTCCTTCCAGGAAATGTTCACCACAATAGATCCTATTACAGGGACAAATCCTCTCACCCCCTCAGAATCCCTACATTCAAGCATGGGCTATTGAAAGCAGTAACACCCCCAGTTGGTGATCTTTTCATACTTCTTGCCCCTTCCCCTATAATTTTTGAGACTCCCATAGTTGCAGTTTGTCGCTCTTTTTCCATTAAAGACATTGTCCTGTCCTGTCTTAGACCCAACAAGCATGAAAATCTGATCCTTTAATCACCTTTAATTTGTTACTACTTGCATTGCATTTGCATCATATTAATTAAGAACTTTATCCATAGTGTCAAGTTAGTATCCTGAACTTTGGGGTAGTGTCAAGTTAATCTCCGAACTTTTAAAGGTATCACTGCAGTACTTGAATTTTCAAAAAAGTGTCAAATTGGTCAATTGACCGTCTGTTATATGTTGAAAATGTTAAAACTATTCTTCAAAATATGACAGTGTTCATTGTCTTCTACCTTGAGACTGAACTGGTTGAGGTGTTTGAGATTCTAGACTAATGAAGCCATTGTCTTCTACTTTTAGATTTAAAACATATTCTTGTTTAGCTATTTCTTTGCTTTCAGTTATTGTTTTTCTCTATCATATTTTTTGTTTTTCTTTCTCTTTCTTTGAAGATAACCGGTTCAGTCTCAAAGTAGAAAATAATGAACAGTATCTTCTTTTATGAAAGATAGTTTTGATATTTTCAACGAATAATTCACGATCGATTAACGGCAGGAACCAATTTGACACTTTTTAAAAATTTAAATACTGCAGACACGTTTGAAAATTCAGATAATAATTTGACACTAGCCCCAAAGTTCAGATAATAAAATGGAATTTTTTCAAAAAAAAAAAAAAGAAAGAAAGAAAGTTAAAGGTTTAGAGTACAGCTGACCAACTGTCTGAGATGTCCCTGATTAACTAAAAGCACTTATGCTATGTCTTATTTTTGGAGTAGAGCATGCAACAAAAGCACTTTTGTGCTGAACAAGCTGTCTGTTTTATGAAATATGCAATTAATTCTGCAACCAGATTATGTGTTCTATTAACCATTATCACCAATGGGTAAGACCGTGATTCTGCTCTTATCCAGTTTCTCTCTCTCACTCACTGCATAAACCAACATATATCTGTTAGTGTTTTCACGATGTGACCAATCCAAATCATCCAACGGCTCTGCTTTGACCTTTCATTAGAGATTTTTTCAACAATATCAGGCATGCAAGTTTTTAAGTGCTTAATTAATGTCACTTAAGTCCTCCACATGCAAAACGGGTGGAGGATCGCTGGACCAAAGAAATGGGTCATGCCGTCCAATGTTTGCAACCGTCATTGACCCGGCAATAGTTAGAGTGGCGATCTAATCATAATCCCGGTTCTAATGAAATTTTAATTCCCTGAATTATAGAGAACCATCGACTTAATCAACGATCCGTCGATTTGGGCGGTTGAACCAATAACCTGTTTACACCGTTCACTGGTAATCGGGTTTTATATTAAGATATTTTTAATTTTTATGAACAAAATGTCATGGGTTGGCCCATTAATTTGGGCGGTTGAAGCAATGATCCGTCCATCCACAAAAATGCAGCTCAACCTTCGGATAAGATTTAAAAACATTGATGCTGTCAAGCCGCCTTTTGGTTTTGGGTCCATAACAAGTAAGGCATATGGAAGATTGTTGGGCTGTTTCTACCCTAATGGGTACCCGCTCCGGTGGGTAGGATATTTTGCTTCAAAAAGGGATTTTGGAGTAGTGATGGGTTTTGGGATTTTATAGGATTTTATAATGCGTATAGACATGGGTAGAAATGTAGAATACAGTATTAAGTTAAACCCAATTCTTCCCCATTTACATATTGTTGCAAGGTATATAAATTTAGGTATTGAATTTAATAATATTTTAAATTTTATATGAAATATAATCGATAGTTTATTAGTTCATGTGTTTTTTATATATTTTTCCAATCCAACTATTAAAAGTATTCTTAGAATCTCTCTTCTAAGATATATTTTTTAAGCCATTAGGAACTTATCATATTACCCCACTC